CCAGGGCTCGGCGTGGGAATGTGCCAAATTTAATTTAAAGCACCATTTTTTGTGTTTTTTAATGTCTGCAAGCAGTCTTAAACATACTTCTTTCCCAATTTATGTAAGCAGGACAATTGGATTCCTGCTATTTCAACCAAGAGGGAGGGCATGGTCATTTACATGAAAAATGAAAATCAAATTTTGCTGTCATAGCACTGATTTATTTGACTTCATTAACTTTTTTCAGCGACACTGGCATAACTTTTCTCTTTGAATATTTTACATGAGATTGGTATCAGTCTTTATTATCACACCTAAATTAACAAACAAATGCAAAGATGGGAATAGCAAAAGAGCAAGCTGATGTCACAAGATCCTTCAAACACTCAACGCAAGCCATGCCTACTTTCGACACCAACATCAAGTTATATTTTTAATGCCTACACAGTGCTTCTGTGCTCAAAGCTGTGACAACAAATTCAGTACCCAGGTACCTCCAGTAATAAATATATATTTTTAGAAGTCAACATAAAAAGCATAATCCCAAATGTCATTGCCAATCTTCTTCATAGTCAACTGGATTTAGATGAAAAAAACTGCATTGTTCTTATTTCCGATGATCTACAGCAGTGGTTCTCAACCCGTGGCCTGCAGGCTGCATGCGGCCCAATCAGTACACTGCTCCAGCCCATGTGACATCACGTTAAATGGATACACTGGAAGTTGTGGGGGGCAGCCCATGAAACACAATGAGAGCTGCAAGTGTGGCCCACTATGGCAAACAGGCTGAGAACCACTGATCTAGAACCAGTATCAAAACCAAAGCCACCATTCTCAGCTGTGAGGAAACCTTTGGTCTTAGAAAAGGATATATGTTCTTTTCAGCATTTTAAATTTTAGAGTTGTCTAAGGCCAGCCATTCTGATGCATGAAAAGCAGACTCTACCCCATTAGTGTATACTGGAGATATGCTGTCAACACAATCAACAGGCAGATGTTTAAATCACTAAGCTGCTTTAGAAATAAAATAAGCCAATAATGCTTAGAGTGGAGAATGAGTGCTATCTGTCTAGGTGAATTGGCTAATTTCAGAACTGGCTGCACTGAAGTACAGTGAGGCATCTCTTTCAAAATCAGAATAGGTCTTTTCACAATATTTTTACTTTTGTAGCATGGTACCCATTTACATTGCATGAGTGGCAAATAGTATACGCAGCAGCTATGAGAAATACTATTTGGGAAATTAAAATTCAGAATATTTCAGAAGGTACTAAAACTTACACTGGAAAAGACTTCTACATAAATAACAGTAGTTCATAATTTGAATAAAAAAGCATGCCAGTTGCTTTACTGATAAAGGGAGAAAAGGTCCCTACCATACAGAGCTTAAAATCTGGGGAGTAAGGAAACGAGCAAATAAGCAACACAACTCCGTATCTAAATTCTCAGTGTATGCATCCCAATTCAAAGATGAACATGCATATTAATAAGGCTGATGTTTACTCAACCTAATTTATATTTTGTCCATAGGTGTATACATCTGAGCTCCCTAATATAATCACCAACTCTAAAAATGAACATTTTTCTTACTTTCCACAGTCAGAATATGCAAACTGGAAACTTAAATAGTAACATTTTGACTTAATTTCAAAAGGAAACATGCATAACATACATGTCAACAAAGAGATTATAAAGATGTTTATATGCTTCTAAGAATGGAATGTGTAAAAATAGAGATTCTCATTTATATCTAATACATGATGGATATTTCCTTATAGCAATCGTCTTATAATAAAATGTGATCAACATTTATATTTTGGCTTTGTAAAAATAATAGAATGCATATTAAAGTTTAAATGAAGTCGTCCAAGAGCCTTTTTAGTACAATGTATATAAGCAATAAAAGTGAAAAACATTTTTTTCAAAAAATGACAGCATTTTTTGGCAAAGAGTGGAATAAGTAAGAATATCTACTAAATGGGTACTGTGATGTGCTGTGACAATAAATTTGAAGAAATTAAGCATTATTCTATAGCCTTGTAGCCACTGCCATTCAAGATTAACATTTATGAAAACCTGCAGCATTCTGGTATTTGAAATATAAATTGGATTTTTACTCAAATTCAATGTTTCCATTTTTAAAAAACAAACCTATTCAAAATTCAACTTTAATTTATTACAACCTAGGTCAGTATCTTAACTTACGAAGTACATCTACACATGCGCTTTACTGTGGAGTTGACTAATTAACTCTGCAGCAAAGAGTCACTGTCTACACATGCACCAGTATTAGGGTGCCTTGAACTAATTAACTCTGCTGTAGGATAGCAGTGTCGGGCATAGTATTATCTTTTAGCTGAGTACTTTAATATGCCAAAACTCACGTGTAAAATGGTGACCAGGGGCATAAATTAGGCCCAGTCAGCAGGGGGCTTGTTCTGCCCATGTTCAAATTGCTGCTATCTTGGGTGCATGTGTAGATGCTGCATGTGGGAGCAAGTGATTCCAGTGCGAATTGCTCCAGAGTTTATTGCATTGCATTCATTTCACATCTAGATGTATCCACTTCTATCAAACTAATTTAGATTAATAAATAATATTCAAGTAGTCTGTTATCAATATTTTAATGAGAAAAAAAAACACCGAAATAGTGGAAGTTAGTGGAAGCATTTCAGTTTTTTCAACTAATTCAGTAAAATGACCAGAAATGGGGTGGGAAAGAAAAAAAAACAACCAAAAAAACCACCACCAAAATGAAAACGGGAAGACTTGTTTTTCTCTTCTAATGTGTGATTCAAATTGTCCTGTGAGCAAATGAGATCTGCTAGTTCTAAAATCTAAAAGGACATGATGATTAGAACAAATTAATTCTATTCACTAACTTTAAATATTAAGTAAAACAGGAATTTATTTATCAGTTAAATAATATAAAACTTCCTTAAATGTACTGGATATATATGAAAAAGTAACCAAGATCATCAAGATTATGTTTTGCATTTAAAACTAACTGTTTGTTCAATAAATCTTAAAATGCTGCTTTATATTTCAATTTCCAAGATTAATGCATTTCTGGAGACATAATTGATCATATTTTACACATAAGAACCGTATTTTAAACTGTTGTCTAGCCTTTTCTACGCAAAATGTCAAAACTATAAATGGAGGTTAAATTATATAACTACTTAAATAAGCAGTTACATTGTAATGATAGATGAATATAAATACATAAAATCATATATATACATGCATACAGTATAATATATAAAATATACGCACATATTCTCTCTCTGGTTGATATAATACATACACACACACTTTTCTCAAGGGAAGGATACATTATACATATCATTTTAGACATACAATTACACACAGCCAGGCACCTGTATACAGTGCATCCTCCTGGTATGCAAAAAATAGAACCAATTTATAGCAAGCAAGGAGAAACAATTTTTCTTCAAGAAAATACTTAAAAAGTAGTACAAATCCAAAACATAAAAGATATGAGTGACATCAAGATTTCCCACTGGCTGCTTTAAAACCATTCCAACTTGCTGAGCATAGGACAGGGGTTTCAAACTGGTGGCCCATGGTTCGTATGCAACCCACAAGGAATTAAGCTGTGGCTCCTGGACTCCTGCCTGGCTGCTGATCCCCACTCTCACTCTAGCTTGCAACAGCAGTTGAAGTCTCTGGGCCCCCCACCCTTCTCTGGCTGCTGCTTCCTGCCTCTGCCCCAAGGGTCAGGACAGGACAATGCGACAAGTGGCACAGGAAACTGAGGGCGAGTACATGGCCATGTGTGGTGGATCATGCCTGGGTGGTGCAACGGAGGGGTAGGGAGCGGCAGTCTGCAAAGCAGCGGGAAAGGTGTCCAAAAGGGCATCTGCTGGGAGTCATGGTGGCAACCGATTGTGCTTGCATGACCACACTGTGCAAGGAGGCAAGTGTCCCCATGGCTATGTGGCCTGTGGCTTGACTGGTGCAGCCCGTGATGAAAGCAGCACCTGGAGGAGTTAGAAGTTGGACAGCACTGGCATAGGAAACAGATGCTTTATTACTCATGACTTGATTACAGTGGCCTCTCAGAAAAGTTACAGCAAATCAGGAAAGGTGGGAAAACATATGCATAACTTATGGAGAATTAAATCTCATGCAGATGCTCCCTTTGAGAAGAGAAGAATTTTCTCAGAAGAGAGAGATTGCTATGAATTATGTCATTACAAACAAAGGCAGTGGTTCCCAACCTTTTTAGACCGCAGACTGGCAAACCATGGACCAGAAGTAACCATGGACCGGCAAACTGCGGACCAGCATACTGCAGACTGGAAGTGACTGGCATACTGCGGACTGGCAGCCAACCCTTTTTTATACTAAGTATAAAAAAGGGTTGGCTTTTTTATACTGCCCTGTTTTATACTGCCGGTCTGCAGTACGCCAGTCAGTTCTGGACGTCCAGCAGTCAACCCTCCTGTGGACCGGCAGCCAACCCTTCGTAGTCTGATACTGGGCGGCAGCCTGGGAGTTGAGAACCTCTGCTTCTCTGCCCCTGAATGGAAGCCCCCTTGGGAGGTTCTAGCAAACTAACTTAAGCATATTTCTTCATGTTGTTCATTGATATCTCTTAACTTTCCCAAATTACCCATGTAGATGTATCTGAATATTATAATAATTTGAAAGTGACTTTTTAAAAGTGATAGCTGTCCAAAACTCAGTGGTAAACCAGCATCCAGCTAAAGTCAAGACTTCTGGGGACAATCCATGATAACACATGCAGAATACCTTTAGAAATCCAAACACTGAAAGGTTTTCACAGTATATTACTATTTTTAACTTCAAAAAGATTTTTAAAACTGGAAAGAGAAGACATCAAATTTATATATAAAGTTCATATTTTACATACAAACAGATAAGCAATGGTATAAACATATATAACGCAAAAAGATGATATTCTTGAACACTTCATGTTATCATTTATGTAAGATGCTCAACATATCAGATCCAAATAAAGTAAAACCTACCTAGACGATGGCAACACGCTTGTAGGCTTGAAGTTTGTTGTAAACGGATTAGTTGAATCATAATTAAAACTCTCCTGATGATTTTCACCAAATGCACTAGGTGATTTCAAGTCAGTAGAACTTTCTGATGCCCCATTGCTAAGTTTATCCGACCTCTTGCTATCTTTTTTACCAGTCACTCTTTCAAAAAGACTAACTTTCTCCTTTTTCTCTTTTCTGGTTTCTTTTTTGATTTCAACAGGTTTAGAAAACAGATTTATGTTCTGATCCCATGATGAAGGAGTTTCTTCAAATGGATTTTTTTGTCTTGGCAGAGTAGCAAACTTTTGGGGTAATGAAGCACTCACATTTGTAAATGGATCATTTTGTGCTTCAAAAGCTGATTCTCTTTCGCCAACTGTGCTGTCATCCTGATTCACTTTAGAAGTATCAGCACTCAATGTCCTCCTATGTGGAGATTTTATACTTCCTGCAAACAATTTTGCTGTTAGTATATAATCAATAAGACATTATCATCATACTTCATGACAAGTGGAGAGCTCATATTAGTTCAGATTTAGTATTAGCTGGATTTCTTTCAAAAGATGTGAGGTTGAATAATTTACTGATTTTAAAAAAATGCAAGAGAGCTGTGGTCTGAAATTTTTGGTTAAGAAACGTTTCAAGTATATACAGGCACCACAGTAAAACATGCTTTGTAGGAAAATTAGGCTTCACAAAGAAAGTGGCTACAACTAATATGGAGTTTTAGAAAAATGACAAAAAATGTATTGGTATACAAGAAAACTTTGAACAACTTAAAGACTTTTCAATTCTTCACTTATCTCAGGTTTATCCAATTTTGAATTTTCTAAAAATGAAACATAATTAAGTTTGTTTTTTCTTAAATATTTCTGAGGGGTAAAATTACTCGCATACTTTTTGCAACATAAAATGTAGTGCTTTATTTCCAGCATGTTGGAAAAAAAATGGATGATGAAAAATAATCATAAAGTGGGACAGGTGCAGAATATTCCTTGTTTCTTGGCAACAGCCTGAAAAAGAAATAGGGATCACCTGCTGATCAAAATGAAAAGGCAAGATTTTAAAGAAAATTCATACTTAACTTTTTGGTTTTCAGGTTAAAACGTGCTAAAAAACAACAGATTCTTAAAAGTTCTCCCAAATCAATAGCAATTAAGCTGCAATTATAGCAGCCACAATTCAGAAAAGCAGGGTTTACTTACCCGTTTCATCAACAGAACTAAAGGATTCTAGCTGACGTCGGAAAAGTTGAGTGTGACCAATTGCACTGGATTTCAATTTTTCTGAAGACACATGCGACCCAGTTAAATCAGACATCGAATGGGCTGAAGATAGTCGCTGAGGTCCCAAAAGGAAAGGTTTTTTTGGTTTTGATTTCATTTGCATTTCACTACTGGATGCTTCAATGTTTGCATCAGGTGTGTGAGTACTTGGAATGATTGCAGAAGATGTGTCCGAAAACGTCCCATCGCTTTTTCGACCCTTCATTTTGTCCTTTAGTTTAGCAAAAGGGGATTTTGTTTTATCTTTCATCGACAGGTCAAACATGCTTGCTGTCATATTATTCCTCATAAACTGAATACTGACTTTTATTTCTCCTCTGTCTTTAGTCCTTTTGCCTTGTTTGGATTCTAGGCTAAACCACCTTAAAGGAAAAAGAAAATATGTTATATTGTGTTTCATTAAACTACACATTTTTTACAGTTCAGTTAATGCCATTACTCAAAACTGAACATTGGTAATATGGAAACCAGAAATTCCATAAATAAAATGTAAGGTTTACTGTATGCTTAAGATGTCAACTGACAAACCTTCCTTTTCAATATAAGTTCTGGAAAGGGAAAAATTTTTAAAAAAATACTTTTAACTACTCTCACATTTCAAGGACCAGAAGTCAGAATTGATGGAAATGTACTGAATTTCACTGAAGTAAATGGTGCTGCTCCTGCTTATAAAGCTAAACTTGGTATCCAAAATTAATGAAAGCTACAAATAAAATTTATTTTGCGTCTTAAAAGAACACTGTTTTTTTCTAAATGGCTTTGTGTGTAAATAATACATTACCTGAGTACATATTGCATGCCAAGTAGCTGACCTAATACCATTTCCTTTTTTTGGTTTTGCTTAAACTTTTATGCCAGTAAATACATTTCCTTTTTAATTTCTCTGATGAGGTTTATATGGATGTACTGGTAAAGAAGTGTTTGTGGACAGTCTTTGAAGGCCTTTCTGTTTTCCTGCCAATCATTCTGTCAGTTATACAAGTGTAAATCCAATAACTTTAATGGTCACTGCGTAAGCATAAATGGGCCCAAATAAATATCATACCTCCATATCAAAGGCCTTAATCCTTTTTCTAAAGGGTCACCAGTAAAACTATAAACATATTCCACCTTTTTTGCCTGGCTTTGGATTTATGGTGTAGCCCTAGCTTGTTCCAGGAACAGGGAAAAAAATATCACCTCCTGTCATACACCACCAGCCCAATGGTGCTTCCTCGTCAAGTTTCCCTGGCTTTTTATATGCACCTTATTGCTCTCTGGTTGTGTTCCCTAGTCCCATGGAAGACTTTGGAGTAAAAACTACCTTTACATTTCAAGTCTAACTCCACCTGTATGCAGTGATCAGTGAAGATGAGTATCTCATCCTTCAAATGCTACTTTCTCCTGGTTTGGGCAGGGTTCTGGGGAGCATCCCTGAACCAAGGAAAGTGGCAGACTATCACCGGCATGAGGATGTTCCTACCTCTTTACCCCTCTTCTCCCACCCTGCGGAAGGTCTGAGATTTCCTCTAATCCCCACTGCTTCATCAAGCCAACTGAGAAGTATAAAAGGAGTGTACAGAGACTCACTCACTTGCTGAGCTGGGACTAGATTCAGTAAAACAACTGTCCTCCTGTATTCAGAAGGAGTCTAAGGAAGAGAAGAAAATCATCTGGCTGTTCCCCCATTCTTGGCTCTTGCCATAGGCAACGTGATGCATAGGAGAGGGTACAGAGGGGGGGTTGGCACATGGGGGCATGTGCCCCCCGCGAGCATTGGTGCTCCCCCTGACAGCAAGCGCTCCTGCTGGTAGGGGGGCACAGAGTGTCCCCCCTGAAATGGGCTCCACTGGTTGCTCCGGTTGCCGGCTGGCTGACCCCTGCCCCCCAATCATGCCCCACTGGTGACCCCCAGACTCAGGTGACACCAGCCACCCATGGTTCTTGCAGTTGACTTGCAAGAGATGCTACCCCATGATTCCTGCAACATCAAATCCATTTCTATGACAAGCTTGAAAGAATTAAATAAGGGCTGTTCAACTTTAGGGTGGTAGCAGGAGGCCACATGCCATGTGGCCAGCAGACCCCAGATCTACATGCTACATGGGCTATAATCCCCCCCCCCACCCCCCTACCTGCCTGCAGGCAGCACAGTTGCCTCCTACTTGCTACATGCATAATGTGAGCAGCCTGACATCCTCTGACAATGGGACAGCCCTGAATTAAACTATAGATAGCTGCTTGCAGATATTAAAAAATAAATAAATAAATAAAAGGCACTTACTTTAAACTCTGCGTCCTCCCTCACCAAGCCCAACGCATGCCCAGAAGAGGCAGCACATTAGTTGGACCCAGCTCATTCAATGTCTGTATAGATTGGGTGGCTTTAGTGGGGCGTGTTTGGCACTTTTATCGAATAGCTTTATATAAAAGCACCAAAAAGCCTCTCTTAAGTGTCCGATCTATACCAACACTGCAGAACCAAGTTGAGTAACGTGCTGCTTCTTCCAGTAAAGCTCTTTAAAAAATTTTTTTTTTACCGTCTGTAAGCAGCCTATATGTTTAGATAAGCTAGCAACGTTCATCTCTATTATTGGGAACTGCCAGGAGGCTCACCATGCACTCATGGAGAATCAGGAGAAAAACACAAACATACTCCCACAAAATAAAACCTTTTTAGAACAGGGTACCGAGAAGTCAGATGGACTATGGACTAAACGTTTGACTAGGATAGCTCTATCAAGGATAATCCTGCCTTGACCAGGGGGTTGGACTCAATGACATCCTGAAGTCCTTTCCAGCCTTATTCTTCTATGATCAACACAGATGGGAATTGATTATGCACACAATACTTTATTCCCCACCCCCTCTTTTTTTTTTTTTAAAGCAACAGGTAAATAAAGCTTTCAGAAAGGAATATGACTTTTAAGTTTAAAAGTTACCTGCTAAAAGAAAAAATAAAAGGGAAAGGAGGAATTATGGCTTTTTGCTTCTTTGTGATGTATAAAGGGCCAAAAGGTTTTATACAGTTTAGTGATATCAGATATACCCAGTCTTTTCTTCTCTATTTTTATTGAAGGTTTACACGTGAGGGCCCAGAGAAATGGACTGAGAATTCTATTATCCCTTAGTAAAAGGGCTAAGGGAATTAAATCTTTAACAGAACAGCTTTTCTTCTGTTCGGTTTACATTTTATCTACGTTTCTGTTAAAAGCAAAAAGGGGTAATATTAACCATCTGAAGGAAAGCAACAATTCCCCTTTCAATTAAGCAAAGTTTGCTCCCCGAATATCTGTGATGTCACTAACCCACTAGTTTATCCACAGCCATTAGGAAAAATCAGAATAAGCAAGAATTAGTATAAACAACACAATTAAAAAAAAAAAATCTGCCCAGCACTCTATTAAATCAGCAAAAGAAGGAATTAATTCAACTCACCATTTACAGGTCATTTTTAAAAGGAAGCTTGCTCACTCCCAGTACATTGCGTTTTTTTCCCCCAGAACAACTATTGATGGTTTTTTGGAGGGGAAAAAGGTCGTTTTCCCATAAAGCTTAAGTTATACATTATAAATGAAAGGAAATCCTGCTTCTGTAACAAATGCAAGCTGAAGATGAGATAACCATTCCCCAAAATTTGCACAGATGCCCCAAATTTAGTATGGGATTATGGTCCCTCTAAATGGGAAAGAGGTATACATTCCTGACATAGAGCTGGGTTTTCCACCTTTTAGTTTAATAGTCCTATCAGTGAGGAAAGTCTAATGTCCCAGTAGAATTCAAACGGGAAGACTTATCTCTGACAAAATTCCTGGAAAGGGATTTTAAAATGTTATTATGTTTAAACTGAGGGATTAAAAGAATGTCATTTTTTTTTTATTTAAATTGATATTAGTTGCTCATTAACTTGTTTTGTAATAGCAGCAATAAATGCATTGTAAAAACAGAAGTGTTGGTGTACTTCTACAGGCCTGCCCTTTTCTTTTTATAGTTTAAGGTACCCCAACTGTTGACATTTTTATTATGAGTTAACAACTAATCTGTATCACTATCAGTATTCACCTGCTAATAGCATACATAGAGCAAACTAATTTGACATTCATTAAACCTGAAGGAGAGAATTTCATTGCAGCGTGTTCACAACTTGCTTTTAGAGCCTGCATAGCCCGTATTCAGAATAGACTCTGAAGGCATTTTCACATGTGGTTTGGGACACTGCGCCAGGCGCCTTAATTAGCAAGCCGTGCTAATTAAAAGTGCCCACACGTCACGTGTATCAGTGTCCCCGTGCCAAAAAAGTGGCAGCGGGGTGCTTTGAACTAAAGCTCATCGAGTGTGTTTTATTTTCAAAGCACCCTACTGCCAGTTTTTCAGTGCAGAGATGTTGATGCGCGTGACGCGGAAGGCTGCTGGAGCGCGTCTATCTCCAGCAGACGTGATTAATCAGTTTGCAGATTAATCGAGTCTGCTCCGATGCACTGGATTTCCAGAGCAGGCTTGACACGTGTGTAGGAGCCCTGAAGAACTCACCAGAAACGAGTTGAGGTGGAAATACAAACCAAAACACCTCTCACCCTTGCAAAACAACTGATGCTTACCTGGGTTTGCTCCTCCACCCCTGAGGTCTATGTCAGTGTTCAGGCCAGTGGAGCCTGCACTTTGCTCAAGCAAAATGTCCATTAACTTCAATAGAATTTTTGCCTCAGTAATAACTGCAAGATCAGACCTTTTTTAGTATTAACTCCCCCCCCACACACACACACACATTTAACTTTTATGGTCATTACAAAGCTATTTTGGTTACCTTGGAGACTGGATATTACGTTTTAGTTATAATGAAACTTCCATATGCTGTAGCTCAAACAAGAGAATATGAGAAGTAAACTCAACTGATATTTTTTTTATTCAGAGTGAAATATATAATTTTTACAATGATGAGAGTCAATGTAAAGTAATAAGTCTTGTGAGGAGCTGAATGTGAACAAGCAATAATACTGAGACTATGAATGTTTCTCATTAGATCCTGTTCCTATAGCATAAAAGGGGAAGGAGCAGAAAAACTGCATTGTATCCAAGAGAAAGAGCTGGAAAATAAAGAATGTTGCTTTTTGAAAACGCTATATTGATCTTCAAATACTAAATTCCATTACCCTACTGCAAATTTTTAAATGATAACGTATTATGAAACACTATTAAACTTGTTGTTTTGGTTTTGTTTACAGCACTTTTAACCACAGTAAATGTTGCAATTGTCAGACTGCCATGAACTGACTCCATAGAAAGCTTACACAAGGTAGGAAAAGAGCCAACAATCTACATAAACAAAAGGGGCATTTTTATGAGAGCAGTTGCCCTTCTATTTAATAATTATATTACATTCTTT